AATACATTATAAAGCCAAATTATTTATTTAATTTTTCTGAAGTGTTGCTTATTTTCGGGTGTTGCTTATTTTCGGAACCTATGTAAAACAGGTGTTGCTTATTTTCGGGTGTTGCTTATTTTCGGAAGAATACGGTAATTCTAGACAACGCGCCATTATTTTCGCCGGGGACTGTATGCTATTTGAAACCAAATGAATATTTTTTTGCTCTCTGTCTCCATTTTGCAGATTCAATTATGCCATCATCTGTTATATTCATACTAATACTGTTATGTAAAGTTGACAACTCAGTAGGAGACATATAAAGTGTTATTATTAACAATGACTAAGCAAAATCGAAATACTTTGTTGCAGTGGTCAATCATTTCAAAAAGTAGGCTTTCCTGGTGATATTTCCACAAGTCAATTGTGTCATTCTTTTATTTGAAGGACTTTAAATTAGTTGAAAACCGAAGTTGCTGACAACATAAATATATTATTCAATAATGTCAATCCACACTCTGTCTTCTCTTACTTTGGGGTATATATCTTGCTTATCTTTAATTCTGCAGCCGACTATAATAAGAGCTCTTAAATATTTCAAGTCCCTTTGCCAGTTTATGTACTTCATTAAGACTAAATCATTGATCCATTCACAATGGGACAAATCTAAAAAGACAAGATTAATTAATCCTCGTGATAAGACTCCCAATGCATGAGGGCCGTTCCCGCGATCAAAGCATCCGGCAATAGATAAATGTGTCAATAGAGGAACAGTTGATGATAAGAGTGTTGCTATTGACATTGCCGGAATTTGTTTATTGAAAGCGAGATTCAGGCGGCGGAGATTGGTGAGAGAACAAGAATAAACGGGTTTATTCTCATTGTTTTTGACTGCTACGGTTGGAAGACCAGTTCCTTGAATACCAACAGGAGCTATGGAGGCGCAGTTCTCGGTAAAGTTATCTTTAGAGTTACTTATAACTGCGCCGTTTACTTTTCCATTTTCTTTCAGTTCATGTTCTGGATCCTCCTTTTCATCATACTCACTATCATCCTCATCCTCATCGTCACCATCATCGTCATTATCATCGTCATCATCAATAATTTCTTCCCAACTCACTGCGACAGAGGATAAGGAATCCTTTTGATGCTTTTTGTCTATTCGCCAGAATGCTCTTTTCAGAATCTCAAAAGACACTTTACTGTTAGCCAGAATTAACTCTTCGTATCCCTCGTCATTCGCAAACAGCGAAAAAAGCCCATCATTCAAGGGGTTGTATATGCTGGCATAATAAAGAATGCTCTGCTTCAGATGCGTTGGCATCTGAGCAAAGTAAGACTTTCCAATAAAAAACTGGAGATTAACAGCCAAACATTTTGCACTAATATCTTGCAAAGAGGGCAAATCATAAAATTCTTCCGTATTTACTAGAAGAATAGCGTGTAAAAACTGTTAATACTGTTGTTTGAATATTACAGCGCCTAATAACTAAAACTCATGGTCCTTCATTATTCTCCCCCTTTTTTTTCCCTCTCTCACCATCCCAAGCCCGCTTGTGTAGTTTCCGCCCCGCAATCATTTGTCCATGTTCATCCTTACCCACACCATATTTCCAAACATTTCGCCAACTTGGCGGTGGCGCAGGTCCAGAGACTCTTTGATTGATAACATCATCACGACGTTGCGCTTGTCGAGCTTGTTCTGACTCTTCACGTAGGAAATAGTTGTATGCTGGAGAATGGAGAAAAGAGAGATCTGTTTGGGGAGGAGCTTGAGAACGAGATTCGTTACGAAGTTTTTCAAGGAGTGTTATTACGAGCGGGGTGTATTCCTCTTGATTAGTAGGCTTTTGGGTTTGCCGCCAAGTAACTAAATTGAAAGGAAAGACTGTCAGAAGAGGAATTACGAAGAGGATTCACCTTCCTCGTTTGAAAAAGTTACCTGTGGTGGTCGAAGTTGCTGAAGTTACGCGGAGTTTTTGCTTCAACTTCTGTCGATGCTTGACCATCACAACTTCTACAAAAGTTATTTTACGACACTATTTACATAAATGTGCCATGGGAGCGCCACATCATAACTCGGTGGCTTGAATGTGTAACGTCATCTGTGGCACGCAATGTTTCTAAATATTTCCGACCAGTTCGCGCGTGTAGTGTATTCTTCGACTTAGCATGATTTTTGAAAAGGAAACCTCGGCTTCGCTTGTAGCCTATAGGCTAATGAACCAGCACGCTGTAAGCGTGGACATTAAAATTTTAACAATATGTCCGACAATGGATTTGATCGCTGCTTGTACTGTGAATGGAGACGTATGGGTTGCGCGTTGGTTTACAGCTCTTGAGAAAAATTGGACTTTGCCATCCTTCAAGTACCAGAATGAGAAAGTAGAAACTATAACATGGAGACCTGATGGTACGAGGCTGTTTGTTAGTGTAAGCAGTTGAAGTATAACCCAGAATTAGTTTCGGAGAACAACGGCCTTGGGATGACCTGCTATAATATTTCGTACTTAGGCAGGGTCTTGGCTATAGGCTACTCTAGTGGTATTATCAGACTCTTCAATGTCGACACTAGTGATATGATCCACGAATTGTCACGAAAGTCTATGGGTGACGATGCTCGAGCCGACTCGGCGCCTATCATGTTTCTTTGCTGGGAACAAGATTCTGTGAATTTCGACAGTGAGGTGAGGGTTGGCTTACATTTATTCTCTGATATAAATACATTCATTTATTTAATAGTCATTTAGCTCATTTACATGGCATAGACAAACCTTTACGAGAACGTGTATTCTATAGAAAAGTACCTTCCAAGATTAAGCACTCTGCCGAATTCAAAAATGAGGTAGAGTTTGAAATCCAGTATTTGAATTGATTGCTTAATTACAACTAATTGTAATATAGTAAAGTATTAGGTTGCTCGTATAATAAAGCTGAACACGAAACTGATGATGATTGCAATACAACGACCGATCTGCTCATTGCCGGCGATGAGCATGGTAATCTGCATTTGAGGTGAGCATACATCGCTTTCAATTCCAATGACTTTATATAAAATTTATGACTTCGATTCCGTTTGCTAGCGTTTATGGAATATATAACTTGGAGCCTATATCCCTGTCGAAGCAGATGAATCGAAAGGTTTCGTAGCCACAGTTTTCGTTGTCGTTTTTTTCATCATATAATTAACCTGTTTGTCTGGAATTGGCAGAATGTGCAAATTCTCAACACGGCTGCTTCGCTCGACCTGTCAACTATCGCATTACTTTTAAAATCTGACGACTTGAATCCGGCTAGTCAGCCTTCATCTGATACAAACATGACCATGACCTGCTATACAATAGCCTTATTCAATACGGGTTGGCTGCATACAAATAAACAACAAATCCGCGTACTTTCGCAACGTTATACCACTATAAAGTTCTTGATTAGTTATATCGCAGAGGGACTTCGTCAGATGGAAACCGAGTACAAGCACATGAAAGACTCGGAAGCTGCTCACACGGAGCCATTCAAAGGGGTGGCTGAAAAAAATGAAGGTAGACATTGTAGACAACTTTTGGCTTATGGGAACTCTTGTCAAAATAACGTTATATTTCGTAGACTTTTGAATAACGACACACGTTTCATATCAGACTTTTGGAAATCACAGAGATTACCTGAACCAACACTATCAGTGGAATATTGTCGATTACTGGCTACTGGAAGGCCAAGTGCAATGCTTGCACAATTTGTGGAAAAACACTCGACAAAGAGGGTAATAATTTTAATTATTATTTAATTTTGAAGCTGTTCTGTTGCAATAGCTTATGAGAATGTTTATCAGGCAATAAAAGATTGGGAAAACAAAGGCATCAAAAGTCTCGAACTGATTCGTGAATTAATTCACGATTACATTCGACCGGCGTGTGAGAAGCTGCTGTTGCAATTGAGTGCACTCGTTGGATATAGTAAATGGTGAGCGTCTTTATGCTGTGATCTGTCTTAATGAGGACCAGGAGGCTTATCATGTAATGTTATGCGTTGTTAAGGCCGCAGAAATTTGGTGAACTTGGTCTTGAAGAACAGTCAATACATTCATGCGTCATATTAACAGGTCGCCTGATTAAGAGGCTTGAAGAGCTTCTTTTGGCAATTAACGAAGAGCGCGTAAAATTTAAAGATTTCCATGAATGGCTTCAAATAGGTAAGTCCTAAACATACGTCAAACAACGTCATAATACAATATCGTAACTCGCCTTTCTCCCTTTTCTATCAGAATTTGACTGCATCGTAACCACGGAGCGCACTTCTGCTGCACCTGCACCTACGAATATAAACGTTGAACGCATAGCATCTTATCTCCGCCATTCTCTCAACAAGGATGTCTTTCGCGAATTCTTTGTCAGAAACGAATCTGCCACTATCAGTCTTTCACAATTTGATTTTTCTCTTGACCGCCAGCAGTCTTCGACTTCATTACCCAGTCGCGTGGCATATCCTTATGACTTTATACGTACTCAAGAATACGATAACGAGTCACTGGCTCTCCAATGTTTTATCGAAGAGTTAGCTAAACGATGTGACGATGTATCTTCTTCTACGGCACATTATGTTGCAGCATCAGTATCTCTTAGGGAGTACTGGGATTTCTTTGCAGAAATGGGAGATGTCGACGAGAGCAGCGAAGATGAGAAAATGAGACTTACGGATATGAGAATCACGAACGAAGTGGGTAGATAATGCTTGTTGAAATTCCAACAATGATTTTTACATACGACGTTTTTATTTGCAGACAACTATGAATCATTTGTATGTAGCATTTTATTCCCGCAACGTGTCAACAAGTGAACCTAAATGTAAGGAATGATGAACTTTCTTGCATGGTTATTATGTTACTAGGTTATATAATTATCTTCGTAGGCTTTATATGGCGAACATGTCTTGCTTCATCGGATACCCCAACACCATGTGAAATCTCTACCGTCAATCTGAAGAATCCCGTCAACGAAACCGAATTTTTACAAGTGAAAGGGCTGAGGTTCTTTGATGATGAACGATTAGATTTGCTTGTCTGTGGAATCGACGAAAAAGGTTAGTTTTGAGAAATTTATAATACTTTTTTTTTTTCATTTATTCGGTGAACTGGTTGGATTAGTAATATACCAACCATGATCCTTCAGGCATGGAACTACATTATTTTGGGGAAATGAAGTATCAAGAATCGCCCTTTGCAAAACACACAATGTCTCCTGCCATTGCCAATATACTAGTAAGTAAATATAACGCTTATAGGCACGAATCGATTTATAGTATAATTTTATTTTAATCAATTCGCTCCTAATCCACCTTCCTTTCGTTAGACAGCATCATCCCAACGAAATTCTCCTTTACTCCACAACTATTGCTTAATAACACAATTCAGGCCTTCTCATTTAGTAACCAACGGACTGAGAGGCCTTGTGATAATATTAAGCGAAAACAGACGACGCATGCTCATATTTGATACGAATGAGGAGGAAGAGGAGGAAGAAGAAAATAGCTGAATATTTTGTATAGCCCTCTTAGGAGTTGATATTGTCTAGCTTTCATGAGCTGAGCTACACGAGAGTTGTTATTTGTTGTGATATGGAAAAAGGCACTTGTCAATTTTAATATCAAATCAATGCTCCTGTTATGAGTGATAGTTGTCTGAACAGGAAAGCTCACAATTCGGCATAAACTTTCGGAATCGTTCCTAAATTTGCGTGGACTATAAACTGACGCTGCCCCGATGAATTGAAACTTGAAACGATCTGAAGGGGCGTTTCCAAAGGTAGAATCTTTATGGAAACAGCTCAGCACAGTGAGACGAAATTGTTGTTACCACTCGTCATCTTTATGTAAATTGATACGACTATCAAAGACACCTGTCTTAAATATTTTTCCTTGTCTCAATCCATTACTTGTAATAAATATCGCTTACGCAGAAGACCAGTCTAGTAAAGAACCACCGTGATGGTATTGTCGATGTGGAATTAGTTGCTAGCGAACGCTCCAATCGAAGTTTCATTTTTTACCAAAACTGCTAGCTTCCAAGTACATAGTAATAGCGATATTTTGGAATCACTTCTGTTTATTTTTGTACAAATTAAAATGCAATATATACACACGTGTATTATATTTACAACTCTTGCTAAAATACAGAATTACTTTTAGAAATTTGCTTTTTTTCTATTTCTTTTTTTCCCTTATCTTTTAAAATAAGGTAGTTTTATTTTATTGTTCTTACGACCCCCGGGACCGCCTCCACTCCACAATCGTCTCGAATCGTCCCTCTGCAGATTTAACCATTGTTGGCGACACTGGCACTCGAAACCGGCGTCGAGCCACTTGGGAAGGACGTGTAGTCAAAGCAGATGATCCTTGTTGTTTATCGGGAGGTTGCATAAGATCTTCCACCTTGGTTGCCCCGTAATCTGGTTTGTGATCAGCGGTACCTAAGCAAGATCGCACTGGTATTAACCGACGAGTCGCTACATTAAACGCAGGATCAGCAACCCTTTTGGGACCACGACGAGTTTCATCAGCGACATCCATTCGCATAAAACCCAACAGATATCCAAGTTTTCTCTTTATGATTTTCTCAGAGGCTCGAACGCTCCACAAATGATGCAGACCGTAATTGACAGCCCGAACGCTCTCGCCCTCCCAATCCCTGCGGATGTTCTGCAAAATACAATTAATGGTGATTGATCATTAATGTTACGCACAAAAAGTCTTCAGTTAATGCGCATAACGTAAGGAGATAAATATTTACCAGGTCCATTCGACGAAGTCGGTCTTTGGCTTTCTCTTCTTCTATTGACTGAAGCCAGAGGGCATTTTCCTTCTCCTGGCGCGACTTTTCTTCGCCCTTTTCCTTTTCCATAAGCGCTCGCTCAGTTGCTTCACGTTCTGCCTTTAAACGAGCTTCTTGTTCTCTTTTATTAATCATTTCTTCATTTCTCCTATTAATCTCTAACAGACGCTCAATGTCACGCTCTTGTTTTTTCTAAAATAGACAGACATATAAAAATTAATCTATTGTCTCGAATAATAGTTGTAACAGTCGCCGAAAATACTTACATCGATCTCTTCGAGACCCTGAGTAAAAGACTCGAGCATGACACGTCGAGCAGCTGCCGCCGATAACTTGAAATTCTCATTGTTACGAAGCTACACAAAAAATAGGATAAGAATGAGAATTAATGCTATTGTGGTTACAAGTAGGTGTAAGGACGATTGTATCGTACGTACTTCTCTGACGTAATCTGGAGTTTCTGATTTGGGTTCCGCGTTCTCTTCCGTCGCTTCTGGCTTTTCAGGTTCAAGCGTTACTGACTTTTCGGTCTTACGACAGATAGTAGCGGTTTCGCTACTATCTTGGGTTTTTTCTTTTCCGGTTTTTGATAGTCGGCGAGCTGCAACTTTTCCCTTGTAAGTGGACTTGATTTGTGAGGTCGACGGCTTTCTTTTTCTGCCTAAGCCCGTGTATATTACTATCGAATTTGTAATAGAAATCCATTGAGGGAAAAGAAATGGAAAAAAAAATGAGATATGGATTCACGGGACTTTATCGTTTAAGCGTACACTCAGAAGTGATTTTATTGTTGTCCTCTTGTGAACTGGGCCAACGCTTAACATAAAAGTAGATAAGTATGCAAAGCACGGAAGTCATAGCATGAAGTTGGCCCGTCCGATTCAACATCGGAACATGAAATGAAATATCTACGAGTCATTAATCTCCCCCAGCAAGCCGTAAAGGAGTGTTTGTTATTGCAACACTACTTTGAAAAAAAGGTAAACAGTCTGTGTAAGAGACGTGCTTACGAATGGAAGAAGCCGTGCGTCCTCTACTTAAATTTGAAATAAAGACTTCATAGGGGTATGGACGCACGGCTAGTCATGGGATAGTTTCATGAACTTAATCAGTAGTAATCTATGGGGTAGAACTACCTGAATCATCCGACTCCGAACCCGAAGTATCGGTGCTTTCACTAGCACTCGAATCCTCCTCCATAGGGTGATAAATGCCCGGGGGCGATCCTATTTATAAGGCATAATGTTCATTCAAGTTATTAACGCTCGTTCTCGGAGGTAAAATAATAACAAAGCAATAGAATGATATAAGATACTTGCCTGATGATCCATTCATCTTCCCGTCGAATTTTTGTAATTGTTGCTCAAGCGCTGTTATCTTGCGCTGTTGCTCTTCTTCTGAATAATGTGTACGTGGCTTCTTTGCGGGCGGCTGCCGCGGCTTGGGAGTATGAGCAACAACGAAGTCATAGATCCGACGAGCCGTCCTATCATCCACAGATTCTATCTCGAGTTCATAACTACCATCCTCAGCCTTTACAATAGAACAATGTTGTCAGCATCGAGCATGATATTTATACGGAAACGCGAATCTCTCATTAGATTATATTCGTTGAAATCGACGTGAATACATACTTCGAGATGAGCTCCACTTGCAGAAATGAGTGCAATAAGTTCATTCGTCTTCTCTTCAGAAAGACGATTGATCCTTTCACCGAGTTCATTTTTCTGCTCAACAGTCAATGGTTCAAAATCTTCCTCGTCAGCCTTACCACGTGCCCGCTTTGCCATAGATTTCTTATTGGACGTCGAGTCCTTGGATCCCTTCATGCTGTTCTTTCTTGTGGGACCTTTTGGTGATTTAGTTTGCTTACGATTTTTCGACTTGACGTCTTTTCGTCGAATAGATGCGATTTGATTTTGTAATGCAACTAAACTCTTTTGCAAAGCTCTAAGGCTCTGGGCTTGTTCATCTTCTAGCAAAGAGGAATAAACCGTTGGATCAAAAGAAAAAATAGGTTAACAATATAGCCGATAACGTGAGTACGTACCATCATCAGATGAACTGGTATCCTCACGTGTTTCGGGCGATGGATTTGGCATTGGCTCAGGCTTCTCTTTCCATTTCCTATCAAAAATTGCTTCGAGCTGTTTGCCCATATTATAAACATCTGAACCTGGTGGATTGTATGCATAACAATTACGAAACATCAAGCGAACATCTTTCTCAAATTCATCGGCGCTCTCATATTGACCATTCTCAAGTTTGTTATTAAGTGTAGAAATGTCCATAGGATTTTTAATCACATCGTAATAATCGGGCACACCCAATTTCATGGCATCAACTGGTTCGTAAAACGGATAAGCATATGGAGCATGTTGTTTTTTCTTAAACTCTCTAATAATTGCGCGAAGGAATTTCATCTCTGCATCTCTCTTTTTTGATACGCTTCCTTTACGAACAGTGGGCGTCTCAGGATAATCTTTAGGTGGAGGGGGTCGAATTTCTCTTTTAGGACGTTTTGGCTCAGATACTTTGGAAATTGAAATTTCAGTAGGTTTGGATGGCTTAGAAGTAGATGGTTCTGCTGGTTTAGCAACCGGCTGTATAATGAAAGACATCGAAACTGTATCAGCAACAAGGTGCGATAAGATCCGAGATTATAAGGTATACATCGGGCGTCAGCGTTACCTGTCCAGGCATTTTAGCCATCATTCGTTCAAATATCTCTTCTAATTCTTGTGCAGCTTTTGAGATTACTGCATCTCTGCCGTTATAAATGTAACAATTATTGAATATCAGCCGAGCATCATCAGCAAACGCCGATACGCTCTCGTATTCACAGTTATCCAGTTTTCTTTCCAATGTGCCAATATCCATCGGATGTTGAATAATTTTGAGATAATCTGGAATTCCAAGTTTAACTGGATCAACTGGATCAAGGAATGGACCGGCGTTCCTGTACTGTTTCATTGCTTTAATTATGGTAGCGCAGTGTTTCTGTTGTTCGCGAGTCATGTTGGCCTTGCGCCAATCTGAACGGGCAGCAGTAGTCCTATTTATTAAAACAAAGACCATAGTTTGTAAAAGTCCGACTGTTGACCAGGATACGCATAACAAACTGTACAACAATTCAGCAGGTTGGATCAAGGCTATTCTTGCTGCGCCATAGCGACAGACAAGTATGGTCAGATCCCTAATAAAGTGGTAAGACTTTCATCTAAACGCCCGAAATTACTTCCAGGGCAGACGATCGCAATAGTAGGAGTGTGATGATCGCGTAAGACGACTGTGCAAAGAGTAGGCACAGCCATCAAACGCCATTTAAGTATCAAAGTATCTATATTCATACTGTAAATTGGTGTTTCTGTGGTTCTCGTACGAGCTCGACGTTTAAGCTGCCCGCTCTACACAACTTACTTATTCATGTTAGCGTCTTGAGATTCGGCTGGACCTTTGGCAGATTGCTTTTTGCCTTTGGCCATGCTTTTTCGTGAAAAGGACAGTAGGTAAAGAGCTGCGAGAAAAATCTGTCAACGGGAATAGCAGATGTTGATGATTTAAAACGAACTGGGCAGGTTGATTGGTTGTTTCAGAATTTTGTACCCAGTCGCGACAATATGTGGGGGGGAGCGGCAAAACTCGGATCAATATGAACTTAACAATTGCTGTGTTGCTGTGGCGTGTGATTAGTCATGTGATACTTAGATTTTCTAACAACCTACAATATCGATATTTTATTTTATAGTTGGAACAGACATGTGTACGTCGATCACACGTTTTTACGTAAACAGTTAGAATATTATTATGTGAATCTAATACCAAGTTTTTTATAAACCGGACGAGAAACCAATTTACGCAATCACCAGGTCCACTCGCTCGATGTATATTTGCCTAAAATATATTGAAGTCGAATATTCATATAGTTACGTTGCAGATATAATGTAATGTTGACTATAAATATATCGCAAATAGTTATTTAAAGTCTGATAGTTCAACGCACCCTTTTTAAGAATTGACTTTTACTGGTTTTGCGTGTTGCTGATGTTTGTAGTCATTAGCTGTCAATAAATATACCGACGCTTACGTCTTATCCTCTTTACAAATCAGTGTCTACACGAGTGTGATATTTTCAATGGTTTATTATCTGCACGCGCTAACTGTTAAGCGCAAGAGTATATGACCATCTTTGTGTTTCACGGCATTCCGTAATGTCGGCGTATGCTAATAATTATTGTCGCCTGATAAAGTATATCAATTTCAACGATCGATATGTCGAATAAGTATTTGATAATTTTGTTTCAAATTTTAATAAATAAATAATTGGTAGCACCAATCGAAAGTCTTGCATCATCACTTGTTCTCAATCTGTGCACCGAGATTATTAGGCTCTCTCTCATCTATAAGATAAGCTTGATCGTCTCAAAAAGACTAGGGTACTTTTAAAAGAATGGGAGCGAATTTCGTAAAAATAGACGACGTGATATTACTTAACTGATAGCATGCCGAGAAGAATAGAGGCGTGCATTGCCCATGATGAGTGGCCAACCCGATATCAAACTTTTTACCCTCCAAAAGGTTCGACTACCTATTCGCGAAAAGTAAGAAAGAAATGCCAAAAAGAAAACCCAATTTGTGGATAACACTCTCATTCTTCCAAATTGTGGTTTATCATTTGTAGCAACTGTATATACAATTATGGTGGCAAACAGAAATATACTTGTTAAGTGTCACTAAGACGAGGAATAAGTCGTGATTATCGTTTCGCGTTCTTTATGGTGCATACACATATTGCATACAATGTACGAATATTTCAATACATTCACATATAAGTTATATGCTATGAAAGAGGACTTACTAAATTTATTTTATGTAATTAGTGAAAGCAGAGTATATAGCCGTCACTAGCAATGAAAGTATCAATATCATTAGTGTACCATACTGTTTACGCCATACTTTTATCAAGGGGATGTTATACTTACAATCCTGCGCTAAAGTTGAAGAGTAATCTCATAGTTATGAAAAAGTCTGGAAGACACTTTAATGGATTCACATTGTTATTACTAATATCATTCTAGTTTGATAAGGTCATATTAACAATTATCTCGTAAAGTCTAAACTCGTCGCTACTAGCATTTCTGCATTTACTATCATATTATAAGCGACAATTGCTCCAAGATATTTATTTGCAGCTTTAATATACAGCGGGTAGACAAAAGTCTACGGACAGCTTTGCAATGAGCATGAAATTTTTGTGACGCGCACCGTTTTACAAATCGTCTACTGCAACGAGAATTACCCAATATCAATAATATTAGATAAAGTATGCATATCTAAATCTCGAAAAGAGGTGCAAGTTTGCATTACAAGCGAGGGATGGCCAACTAAATCTCAATACCACGTAAACATGATATTGTATATTAATATCAAAATTAAACTAGAATTTCATGCCCAATGGGGACTTTTGTCTATCCACTGTAGAGTGTTGTGTTGCGTTAAACGGGGATCTGAAAGACACGAATAAAAGCATTAAAGTTGTGTGAACGCCAACATTATAGTAGGATGGTAAGCGTGAAATAGAATAATTCCTTCGATCGGGCAATTTGAACATTAGCGGCAGTCGTCCCTTTAATACATATAATAATAAGCAATTGGTTAAACATAATTCCCACTGAAAGCATTATTTTCTCACTATGTCCTGCATATTAGTACAATCAACTCTAACACACGGTAATTGGCTACAAATAAAATGTGTGATGTCATGAAACAATCGAATTTTCCTTGTTTCATATTTTTGCTCTTGTTTATGTCACACTCTGTATCGACAGAATGTCATGTCTTCAATTGGGCATAGCAAATAGCTGTTGTTACTATATTACGTGCAGACGGTCACCAGTAAATACGTTTATATACACCCTTGCGTAACGTACGGTAAATGCAAGGTCAGCATTCAGCATCACATTGTAAGGTCACATAAAAGTAACGTGAGCATTAGTAATAAAATTAGTAGCTATTCCAAAATTTTACGAGATTATATCCCAAGTCGGATGAGTCGTCATGTGTATTTATAAAAATTTGCATTTCTTTTTAGCCAGGCAAAAAGTTAACGGACGCGTAACACTACAATTTTCTTTCGGGATATCACATCGAAATACTTTCTATTTCTCAGCAGGGTAATCTATCTCTGAGATCATCGCAAAAAGCTACCAAGTTATTTAAATAATACATTTATTTCTACAATCGGTGAATTAGAAGATTGCTAATCTTGCGAGTTTAAGGGTGAAAGAAAACACTAATCCGTAAGGCCATGACAGGATGAATGGGTTTTGTAGAATATTATAATTTACAAAAAAGACAGAGTTCACAAGTTTGTGTATTACAAAACTCGGATTTTTCCCGATGATATATTCCCGATGATATAAGATAAGCATAAATATGATATATATTTCTTTCTATCCTCCATTTTATAAAAAATTTAAAAAATAAAAATAATTAAACGGCCATTCGACTCAGTCGAAATGTTGTTAAGTTACAAAAGAATTAATGGAAATTGGAAATTGTGTATGTGTGTGTGTTGCGGGGAATGAGATATACATTATCTTTAATAGGCGTTGCCATTTGCATCATACTGATTAGGATAATAACCGTACTCTGCTGGAGCACCGTAAGTTGGGGTGCGAGGAGGCGGGGTGCGAGGTGAAGGACTCACAAGCCCACTAACTGGCATCAAAGACGCCGGAGGTGCATAGGCAGTTCCATTGGCTGTGAAGAAACTTTGTCTTTGTCCAACAACCGGAGCAAAGCTCATTCTGTTTCCATTATTATAATCAACAGTATGCTCGAGGTACGTCGAATCCGGCCTAGAAACAATCGAGCCCCTCGAGTAGTTAGTCTTTTCATCAAAATAGTGAGGTTGTCCGATAGCAAGAGTATCATTAAATTCAGAATCGGTGAGTTGATGTGATTGTCGATTGGAAAAAAAGTTACCACCAGTCGCTCGCTTTTTCTTGCGCACTACACACATGATTATGCCAACGATAATTGCCGTCAACGCAAACATACCACCAATCATTGCTCCGGCTGATGGGCCGTTAGAGTCCGATTGGACATTACTAGGGTCAGGCGACAAGCTAGATGGCGCTGAAGATATTGTTGAACTGCTGTAGACTGACGATGGCCCCCCTACGGCTGTTGTTACAACGACACTAATGCTAGATGGACCAGTAGTTGGCGCATTTTTTGGAGGTGCTGTAGCTGTAGGTGTGTTAGCATTATTAGGGCTATTTGCGGTATTCGGATTATTTCCATTCCCATTATTCGCGCCGTTGTTAGGGTCATTAGCAGGAGGAGGAGGATTGGGCTTGTTATCGTTGCCTCCTGGATTGGGTTTATTATCGTTGCCACCAGGGTTGGGTTTTGGGTCAGGCGCGGGTGCGGGAGCAGGGGCAGGAGAAGGAGAAGGAGCAGGAGCAGGAGGAGCAGGAGCAGGCTTTGGGTCAGGTGCGGGAGCAGGAGCAGGAGCAGGTTTTGGGGCAGGCGCGGGTGCGGGTGCGGGACTGACGGCTGGTGGTGCGGGATTGGGAGAAGCAGCCGCGGAAGGCTGCGCTGCAAGTGCTGGTGGCATCGTTATGAAAGTTTAAAGTAAATGGACAGATTGTTGATGTTATCTCTGCTAGAAGTCTCACTGTATGAGCCAACTAGGTAATATCCACACAGTCTATGGGAGGGAAATTCGATATTCTCTATTCTATAACCTGGACTAAAGCCAGCCGTACAGAGAATGAGAGGATAAAGGATAGGTAGGAGTAGGATATAAGCACCCAGGTATAAAGGAAAGTTGGACCTTCGTCGACAGAGACGAGGTGTAAAATGGAGGATAAAAAGATCGAGAGAGGGAAAAGGACGAAGAAGAAAAACTGGTGTTGGAAATGTGCAATAAGTTATTGTCGTAAAATTTGTCATACGTTTATTTTGAAATTGATGTCCCAAATTGGAAACTAGATGCTACCAGAGATATGCCGTATATGGAGAATTAATTATTATTTATTTTATGTGCATCCAAAGCAAAAGCAAAGTACAACGATTGTGTAATTTGTCAAATAATGAAGCCGGTTATTATTATTTCTCCTAAACCTAATTTACATGGTATAATTGGCACCGGAAGACCATTTCTTTGGCCAAACACGTCAGTAAGTTAATTTCTACAACACATTCTCTTCTGACTCGAACTTTCGCTCTTAGGGTCTCCTGCCTTGTTGCTAAGGACCTTAACACTAGCTTAGTGAACCAATTGCGTTAATTAGGCGAGCTGTGTAAACAAGTACCAGTTGCAAGTTGGTAATTCTGCACATTAATATAAATCGAGTTGACTTTTTTGGAGCAAAGCTGTCATTTGCGCATTCATATTATCAGTTATATATTAGTATATCTTCTTAAACCGTTCTGTTCAGTCTCATTAGATTCCAATCTGTAAAAAAGCACGTCATGGCATAAGTAGGCATTCTCAGAGACCCGTTTTTAATAACATCGAACCTGTAAAAATTAGATGTCTGGTATTCACAAATTTTACCCAAGTTTGCAGTACGCTAGATCACTTGCAATAGGTACCAGTAATTAGTATAATAGGAATTAATGTTAATTCATCATGTGTAACTTGGGATATGCAATTTTCGGGTTTCAATTGTTCGGCTTTTATGTTTAATGAGGAAAATTCTTGTCATACGACAAATCTCGATATAGATCCCAAGTCTTTTCAAACCTATTATTATAGCCGTCCGCTCTATAAACGTTTGTTCCAGCACTTGAATCGAAACTAGAAGAAAAAGTATCACTTCATAATCCGTCAGCACCTGTTAATATTAACCCATTCCCAGATTTGTGTTCCGATGTATGCACACCAAAGCGCTGCAACAAAATCAGATTTAATAATGTCTATGGAAAAATCGACAAATTGGCGAGAGGTTCATTAGTCCATTATTAGAACAAAAAGTTACTTGTCAGTTCATTACAGGGTAGTGTCGGATGGCAAGCGTACAGACTAGGACAGGTTGGCCACTCGAAACGCGAGGGCCAAAATTGAAATAGTAGTCGCATACACAAGGTGTTGCTCTAAGGTGTGGGTATTTGGAGTTTGTGCTATCGTCCAAAATGAATTGGAGGGCCAGGGATGAATTGTCGCTCGGGTTGATTATTTCTTCGGCCTAAGATTGCATGTGCTACAATCCAGGGGTTCAGCATATTCACAAAATAGAATTATAAGAGCTCTCGTTGATTATACGAAGCGAATAAGGAAAAAGTTTCCCTCTTCAATAACCACATTATCACTGGTGATGATATTTACCGGTAAAGTTCCACGCCAACGAATATTATTACAATTCAGGAAAGAATACAGACTCTTGTACACTCAGAAAGTAAATTTGATACATTAAGATTGCTATATTTATAGCAGAAGATTTTATTCAATATTACATTAAGACTTGTATGATATTTTTCCTATTAATACGAACTAGCTTGTGATCAACACGATCTAATGCACAACATTCTATATTGCCCAAAAAGTTTCATCACTTTTTCTATCCAAAACAAAATTTCCCATCAGTATTCACACTTCTATACATTCATTGTTCATATCTCACACTACACCAACACTCCAAGAACCAAGAAAGTGATGGTTCCTATAATTCCACCAATTGTTATCCGAGATATGATTCCCATTCTCTCTGCATCACTCGCCGAACTGTTCGCTTGGCTGGATCCATCACCCCCACTAGTACTATTATTAGTACCTCCACTGCCCCCACCAGTACTATTCCCAGAATTGTTCCCTACGTTGGACAAGTCCGTGAACGCACACGACTGATCCTGACATAAACATTTTCCGGCAACAGGATCCCAGTATATTGTATCGCACGTAGTACTCACTTCAAATCTGTTTTGATTTGCACTCTTTGGAACGGGGTTGGCTGGTGTGGGTGTGTCAACTGGACAGTTGTAGCATGTTGTGATTGTAGTTGTGGGTAGACTGCATTGTTGTTTTAATCTCTCATCAATATTGCCGTCACCGTTGTCATCAAGGCCGTTACATATTTCTGTGCCAAGTTTTGGAACAGTGCATTTAAACGCGGGGTGATTCGCGAGTTGGGAAACCGGGACAGGATTTTTCATCCACGCAAGCACCTGAGAATAAGTAACGGCATAAACGTTCGGTTGGGAAAGAACGTATTGTATAAAGCTATTATATGCAGTAATTTGTGGACCGGGGTCCGGACGACCTGGTTGATTTAATAATTGAGCGGGGTGAAGGTAAAGGCCTAATGAGAGGGAGAGAGGATTGAAGGAGGACAGAGTAAAAAGAAATGGTGAGAACGAACGGTATAGCATATATACTCGATGTATACAAAGGATATAAACTGCTATATTGATCTATGCACAATGCATAAATAAAGGCGTGCCACTTACCAAATGGCGCTTTACCGCCCTTGTAATGTTGGTTAAAGCTATTTATAAGCCATTGTTTGCCTTGATCTACCGGAATGCCTAACAACGGATCCATCAAATACGCCACATTGTTGTCGCCTATAATTAAATAATAGAATAATTTAATAGCCATATAAAATTCATCCGCATTTTTTCACATATTACGGAATTCAGTCAAATCTTGGATAACACACTCACCAATAATATTATACATTGGAAATTCAAATATTCCTGGCAACTTCAATCCGGCATCACAAATACCCGACCAACACTCATTAGCCACGCCATTGTCCAGCGTATACGGCCAAAACATATCAGCCGTACCAGCACTCACAGTCGAGTCATAAACGAATCCGAGTTTCGATAGTAACTGTAGCGATGCGGTGGTGTAATTCCGAAATGGAAATCGGAATCCGGTAATCTTGCTCTTCGGAATGCCGGAAAGAGAATGGAGCGCGAGTATGTTACCGGTTATTTCGGCTATATAGTAGGGAAAAATCAGAGGAAACGTTAGTAAACGGATCTTATATAGCACATAACTATAGTGGAGAAGCGTGGGTCATTTGTTGAGGTGGCGACCCAAACAGATACGGGAATATAAAATACATACAAACTAATCGTCATTATGAAAAAATGGTATTTTGAATCTTACCTTCTCCTGGCAGATTTGGATGCGTCATTGTATGATCGGCAATCTTTATTTGTGAAACAAGGATTAGAAATAGTTCGGAAATTGGTGCAACATTCCCTCGAATTTTGCCCTGTCCCTTTCTTTACCTCATGTTCAGCGGCATACCAATCTGTAACAAGTCCAAAATCTGTATAATCAGTTTGGAGGAAATACGTCGCGGTAATCGGGCAGCTAAAGGGAAGAAAATCTTGTAAATCTAAATAGATCTTGGAATTCAATTGGGAAAAGCATATATACTAGAAACATCTTTACCCATTAGGGTTCTTCTTTCCCTTTATAAGAGTGTTGACGACTAAATGTACAGAATTAGGATGAGATGCTTGGATAAACATATTGCTTCAATAACAAAGAATAACTTGCTCTATCTCTCTCAATCTTTCCATCTCTCCATCTCTCCATGTCTCTCCATCTATCCATCTATCCATCTCTCCATCTCTCCATCTCTCTCTCGTTTTCTTACTTTGCATTGTTTGCTGTTGCATAGCATCATCGAAACTAATAACGAAAAACTGCGGTACTTGGTCAATGGGTATATTCCCCGGAGGTGTAGTTGACGCACAGAAGCATTGTGGATGAACACAAGTCGTCGAATCGCATGTGTACGCAGCTTGTGAGCGCAGCAGCGTCGTAGATAGAATGAACAACGAATATAAAACAAACTTTAGCGACATCCCGGAAATATGATAAAGGTAAAGAAACCTTAATCAGGATTGTCATGAGGTGAGGGGAAGTGAGGTATTTATCCGCGAATTCAAGTTAATTTAGTAATTAGATTAAATATATTGTTTAACGTGCTACTAATAAAAAATTGCTATTTATAGCTAGAATTCGTTTACTTGCTGATATAATGAGATCAGTTTGCTTTGACCTGCATCGGGTGCCCCGAATCCAAATAAAGAACGTATAAAGTGCGCTTATATAAATAGAATACTTTTATGTTACATATCCCAATACGGCATTAATAGATAATAACAATCTTGGACTTTTTCAAATTTCTCTCTTTTTTGTTTTAATGAATGCTAAGACCGATTTATTTATGGACGGAGGGGAGAACACACAACTTGCGACATTTTCCACTCTTCCGAATCTATTCGTGGAAGCAATGGATGAAACGGGGTAAAGCAGGGTCGTATGCATTGACGATTAAAGTTAGAATTGAGCGTGAAATTGATAATCACTTTTGTCTAATTCTTATTTGCTATATAACAGGGTGCTATCTTTGCTTCGAGTGAATTTACGCTTCCATTGTTGTCGTTCTTTGAGCCCCAACATTCGCTCTCCTAAATTTCACGGATGATACATTTGAAACAATTCCCTTTTCTAGCACGTGTTCACTAGCAACGTGTCACAGAAGACTACCTATATTTAGCTCGCCAAATATACATACAAAAACAATAATCGTCATTGTCCTGAGAAATTATCAAATAAGTAAAAACTCCCACCATCCCCCTTGCAAAATTTGAATCTGAGACATGAGTGGGCTGTGTTGTTTATCTGATCAACAATAGTTGTAACGTTACTATTCCTGGTGGTTGTGACTATCTCTTGGCATATCTTGTGTCACTTGGAGATTCAGATTATTATTAGCATTTTTCTGGTGACTTCGCCAAACTCGATCCTCGAATAGTAACATCCTATGTATGGCAAGTCCAACGTGTCAGATTACTTCTGCATAGGGACATGCAGGAGTCTCGCCCTGTATATAGAAAGTTCTCAACTTTGATCGATCGATATGTTAGTGCCTGCTTACATAAGATCATCCTTGGATAAGATAATCGATGTGAGAAAAGTTTGCGAAGTTTTGTCTTTTAGTTCCCAAGCAGTTTGGGTGCTAGTTTCTTGGTGGAGTAAAGTTAGTTTTTGTTGAATTTTGGCTAATAAAATATATAAACCATTAGCCATTCTTGTGTTTCGTAAAAAAATTGCACCCTTCAGGGCGTCACGCCGATTACGTATGCCGTACCAAATGGTTTTCTAGATCTGTCAGATACCGAGGAAAATCGGCAGAATGTATTAGGCGGGACTTTACCCAAATCAGAGAATTCACATGAATTGTTGTATGGGCCATGCTGTGAAATTCAAAGCAACCGTCAGGCATATATTTTTATCGCCCAATTAAATGCAATTTTAAATAATGGTCATATCCATATTATAAATACGTGGTTCAAGTCTTTATTTCGTGGGCATGTTCTCACTTTTAATCTGATGAAGAAAAAATGTTGGCAACTCCTTTTTAAGCTGTACATGGCTTAATGACTAATCGCTATATATATACAGATCTGCCAATGTTGCATCGGCTCAAAGTTTAATCAGAAAACTGATTTGCGGGAATCGAATTAAATTATATCGGTGGGTAGTTTTTTATTTAGGATACATTGCCAATTACTTTATTAACGTATCTGAATAAAGATGGGGGAGGGCTTTAATTAAACTTTAATAACCTATTTTTGTATAGAGCATTAAAATACACTTGATCGCCAACTTGTCATTGGTTTGTCCAATAACGCAATTCTGCATTGGTGTAAATCTAGAATCGCGTTTACTATTATGGATCAGATAAACGAGCTTGGTTATATGCCATCGGTACTAGATAAAAACATATTTAAATCCTGTCGTTGGCAAGCATTTCTCTATTTTTGACTTTTGCTTTGTGATCTCATTTGTCTGTTCATGTCATATTTCTATTTTTATCGCATTCGTTTAGAATGAACTATTAAAAGAATGGACTGGAAGCATAAATCTTCCGAATTCGAATTCTATTACTAAAATAATTCGATTAAATTAATTATTTGTTATCTCCTTATCGTCTAGTCCAATGGAATGTGATGCTCTTGTGATGTCACTCTCGCAGACTATGCGATATTGGTATTAGCTTGGTTGTTATACTATTTTAATTATGTCACACATTGTCAAATATTGTCACACATTTGTTTAACTTGTTGATTTTCGTTCAACTCACGTTAATGTCGGTGCTTGACTATTATGCCGGGTACTTAATTCGTTTAATGAAAGTTTCAGACTTTTGTATCGAATAAGTTCTTATACTTCCCATATAATATTAACTCGATGATTCGTAAGTACGGAATAATTTTCCTTTGACAAATAACATTACTGATATACACATAATAACAATAACATTTATATTAGTCACGCGAATTGCTGTCGGCAGCGTTGCATAACTTTGAAACATGTCGTAGTGCCATCGAAAGGCTGAATTCCTTGAAACCAACAGAGAACTCTGCGGACCCGAGCATTTCAAGCATAACATGTGTATACTTAATCACATGATTCCTGGTTACCATTAACTTCGATGTTTCATGCGCGTAGGCTCCGTGCGCGTTTTCGGTTCCGCCATTCAAATACCGACAAACATAAACATATTTAAAGAAATTATCCCTCAAATTCTTTAACCATTGCAATATTTTGCTTATTTGAAAATCAAAATCGTAAACACATAAACTCTCTCCTCAATGCTAATATCGCCGCCACCACCGCCAACAGCTTCCCAACAACTCGTCAGCTCCCCAACCTACGAACAACTCGTCAGTTCCCCAACCTACAAACTTAAGACAGAAAAGTCGCGATATGGTCTCAGAAATTGTGGTTACCCATTACTTGGAAGCTCTCCATCATACGTTGCCAATCAAAGTATATTCAAATCACCTTCAAAGGCAGCTATTGAAACTGTGGATGAGCTTGTCGAGATATGCTTATAATGCAGTTGTCCGCTGGAGTCGATACCGCCGTTTCTATACCAAAGATTCGCATATTGGTCCATCACGACGGGGTTGGATAAAATCTCAACCTATTGAAGATAAGCTTAATCTTTACACGGATGTTCGTGTAGGCAAAGACGTTAAACGCAAATTCGTGCGAACATTATGCGTATTGGAATGTTGCTTCAAGGCAAAACATTATCGACGAGGCGACATTAACTGCTAGGTATGATTGTTATTTTTCGATTTTTTTTTGGTTTTTATTTATTTATTTATTAACTAATTTTAGGGACAAGATAATTAATCAAAATATAGGAATCAGCAAAGAAGTTCGTCTTTGTCATTTCGATCCCGAAAAGATTTGCGACAAACGATAACTAAAGGTGTAGGTAAAATTGGCCAATACGACATTGGACGAATTATTCGTCTATGCAAGCACATGGATAATCTATAAAGGACAAGCTGGCTGCCTCTAGTTCAAACCGTAAGAAGAAAAAGGCCTTGCGACTTAATAAGGCAATCTTTCGGATGGATGCGACGAAAAATCAAACACCTGCAAAGCGAAGTCCATAAAAGAGTGCCGCATTTTTTACTCGCGAATTTGATACCATTATCATCCCTCCTTTTGAGGTGTCGAACATGATAAATCGAAAACAAGAAGGATAACACGAAAAACCGTTCGTAAAATGTTCTGTTGGGGCCACTATCAATTTCGCCAACGTCTGGTGGACAAAGCAGAAGAATTAGGCCATGTTATTACCCAAAATGAGGCCTATACTTCAAAAACCTGCAGCTGGTGTGGAAGCGTTCAAAAAATAAGAGGGTCCGCGATGTACAAGTGCCAAAATTGTGGATGGCGCTTCCTCCGGGCATTGCTTGGTAGCCTTGATTCTCTCCGGAGATCATGCAGGAAATAGTTACAATCCATCCGCGTGACCATTGTAGTATATGAGTTTTGTGCTACAAATCAACACATCACTCCTAAGCAGATGTCTTATTTACATATCATTTCACAGAATACTCTTCTGGCCGTGTTGCCGATTATCTCGCCAGTAATTCCTTTCTAGAAGAGCTGTATGCTAACATGAGAGCGACTTTTTGCAGTAATGCCCTTTTCTACTCAAGAGACTACTAAATGCTCAATTTCACATCATCTGTCATTAATCGACTTGACAATGTGTTTAATACTTATGGAAACAATATTATAATGCCCTGTCATTCTTACTCTAGAATGAACACCCAACGTACCTCGCTAATATACCTAAAACGCTCATATACGTCATCTTGCATTTATTCTCTCATTTCTACATACTCTCGGCGGCTTTCAGAATCCTATCCCCAAGAGAAATTTAATTCGTTGTCACTATTTCTTAAACATGGGCGTTTAAACGTGATAAAAATAACAAGCGAGTAAATATTAATACACTGCCCCTCAGTATGTGTAACAGTTGGTTGCATGCAGCTGTAACAACTTTGATCAGTGTACACATTAATATGCAGTGAGCATGGCAAAAAATAGGTTTCCTATGTCTCATTAACGAAATTAATTTCCTTTGTTATAAACCCATGTTGCCTACTGGTTATATAAGCATCAGCAGACACCTTGGATTGGAATTGTAGAGTAGAATCAATAATATAGTCATACGCGGCTGCAGCACTGCTGCACAGTCACTCATCGGGTACCCAAGTCATTGTCAAGCATCAAGTCTATTTTAGTCATGAGCGTGCGTATCTGTGATCGGATAAACAGAATAACAGCTCCGCACGATATATTGTTATGTTGTGAAACATGCAAACAACGGGCACAACGGGTAAATTGGACCGATTAGTAGCAAACTAGTTTTGCAATTATTGCTTATTTAACATTTACTTACAATTACCAATTTCTATTAGTCGCATTCGCTATTACGGATTATCTTTATTAGACACACTTTGTGATTATGTGACCAAATTACCAGAGAAGCTTTATTAACACCAATTATTCAGACACTTACGCACAAATATCTGTAAGGGATTAAAGTTCTTAATTCCGGAATGTGTCTATAGAATAAAAATAGCAGCCAACCAAAGTAAACATAGCGCCAAAAACGCCAAGATAAGAATATATTAATAGTCCTATTAAGAGGCACAGTTTATTGCCATCTTTAAAATCTGGCAATTAAAGTAAAACCGTTGCTGGTAATTAGAATTAAGTTTGTCAATTGTCTTGGTAAACAATATTTTTGGTTTAATGGCTTGGCTTCTTTGATATTATCCGATTCGCCAAACTTTTTGATTTTTCCCGGACAATTGCTGCTTGCATGTAACTTAAAATTGCAAGCTCTTTATGTAGTGCAGAACTTCCTAGACATGTTTTTCCAAGGTATAACTGCAGGACTGACAGTAACGTTGAGAGTTGGTGCTAGCTATGCAATTACAATATGTATACTGATACAAGTTCGTTATACTGAGTCACCTGAAAAATATATACGTTTTACTTAAATAGTACATCCAGAATTATACCCATAGTAATAGCATTAGTATTAGTTAATATTAATATTTATATTAATATGTAAATGTCAAACCATCCAAATCTATCAATTAGTATTAGCATAGTAAAAGCTTTGATGGCTTCATTTTTAGTTTTATCTGTTATAGTCAACAGAGATTAGTAATGCAAATTAGGAAATGTAAGAATTAATTAAATATACAAATTAGGGTTATCTTATCTCCATGTTTAGTTAGCGTTAGGCGCAAAGAGGAGAGTGTTTCAAACACACGGGTGTAAGGTAATTTTTTAAAATGTGCAAAAGACTTCGTTAATGATTAATTAGCACACAGTGCGTAATTTATTAATAAATTTGTTAGTATCTCATAATATTTCAAATCGTGGGTATTCACTGACACTTAAAATCTGCCCAAAACTTTTTTAGCTTAACGACAAAAAATACTGGATTTGTAAATAATAAACTTTTGTTCTAATATCGACGTCCAATAACAGTCGTTATCTGATACGTACGTATTTGTGAAACATAAAGTTATTATCTGAAATTGCATTACGGCTTTCCTATCCGACATACAGAGATAAATGCTTGGTTAGTAGAATCAAAAACCTGAAACGTAAAGGCGAGAAATGGTTAATGAATTGGTAAAAGAAAAGGAAAAGATATGCACGAAAAAGATCTATTTTATATCGAGAAATCGACAAACACTCAACAGGCTCTTGACTTGATTCTTCCTTTGAATTTGTCGTCTGGATATCATCCACCAATTCTCATCTTTTTACACGGTGGCGCTTGGCGAACTGGGGATAAGTCTGAATTCTTAGCTTTTGGCGAGGGGCTATCCCGGAAAGCCAACGTTGCGGTAGCTCTAGTAAATTATCGGTTAAGTACTAAAGAAACATCTGAAGTCAAACATCCTAATCACATAGAGGATGTTGCTGCCGCTGTCTTTTGGATTCATCAACACGGCAAGAAATACAATTATCGCCAAGACCGAATATATCTCGTTGGACACAGCGCTGGTGCCTTTCTTGCTTCACAGTTGGTATTTATGCCCGAGTATCTTGATCGGTACGATTCATCCATTCGTGATCAAATCAGGGGAGTTGTTGGTATAGAGGGAATCTATGACCTTGTTGAATTAGTGGAAACATGGCCTTCATACATTGACTTTGTATCTGGCGCGTTCGGCATAGATGAAACAATCTACAAAACTGCATCTCCCCAACATTACACACCGACTGTGAACATCCCTCCATACTTGATTATTCATTCTCGTGATGACGAGCTCGTTCATCTTGCGCATTCCCAAAAGTTTGTTTTTCATGTTCAAAAGTTTGCTGTAAAGTGTGATTTCGATACGTCATTGACAGGAACGCATGATGGCATTCTGAAAACTGGCAATTTGGTTGATAGAATAGCTGAGTTTGTAATAATGCTAGAATCAAGGGAACTAGATCACCAAGTAAAGTTGTGAATAAGATTTAATGTTGGATTAATTTTTCCTGGCTTGGGATTAAATAATAGTCTATTCATTGAACACAAAGTGTCTGGTGTGACTAGTGTGACTGATGACATTTTGAAAAGGGGCTTTGACATAGCAAATACATGCATAACTTGATCTATGGTTGAGACAATATGATGTCATAACATATACGATTATGTGTATATAAAAACATTAATATAAACCCAATTTATATTAAATCCACCATGGAACCAAAAAATTATAGCACTATTAGAAATATTTTAGAGAAAGAACAAGGAGAAAAATCGCTCCATAGGAATATCTAGATAAGAAAAAATTACTTATAAAATTTACCAAGAACGAAAAAAAACCAACGAAAACTAGAAGAAACGTAAAGGAAAGCAATTTAATGCAAAAGTTTCCCACCAAGGCCTCCACTAATCGAGCGACCTATCAACAAAAAATTGTTCCTTATAGTCTTTTGTTGATAAAAGACTGCTTGAGCGCATTTGTTGAGCTTTGATTCGCGTTTTGCTGCTTTGACACAATTGCAACCAAAAGAGTCAAAATTACGTAACGACAATTCAATTTGCGTAAGCATTATTTTAATACCTTTATTATAGAATGCGATCGCTCTTGAAAAAATAAATAATAGTAAAGGCACCAGAGTGATTACATGGGAGGAAACAAAACCATTGATAAGTATAACCTATTATTATCACTCTGGTGCAAACCTGAATTTTATTATTATTATTATTATTATTATTATTATTATTATTATTATTATTATTATTATTATTATTATTATTATTATTAT